AACTACAAAAACACATAGTATATAATACGACAAACTCGACAACTCCTCCTCGAGAGCCTCCCCAATCAGGTTGGCTAGGTAACAGAAATCCTCGTCTGAAGTAGATGTTCATTGTTCTTTTAAAGTACGAGGTTTCGGTCTAGCCAAGAAGATAAGAGCCTGAGGATCTGGCATGTGCGACGCCTACTGAGAATCACTAAAGATACCAGTACCTCTAGCAAACTCTGAGGAGGTTTCCCCTCGAGAATTCGGTTAAAAGGGACTAGGCAAAATCATTGCCATATTAGTCAGATGAGAAATATCGACCGACATTGAAGTGTTTGAAGGACCAACAATAATTTTGGAAATCTGAATTCCACATCTTAGTTGGAGGATTGCTTCCTCGTTCTTCATTGAATATGAACATTATAATTACCAAAGTTAAGAGCATTATAGACAGATGAATTGATGATATGGGACAAGAATGTCGGAAACTGGCCAAAAATGACATTCCTCTCCTCCTTAGTACGAGTGTTCGTCAACAAGAAGGTTTCAATAAGTCATTTTAAACGTTTCCTTGAAGCTTCATCTCGGAGAGTGACGCCCCCGACATAACCCAACTCTTTGATGAAAGTAACCATTTGTTTCATCAAATAAAGCTCCTACTAAGACATACATTACTATAAAAACTACTTTTTATGACAACGATTTCTACTCACATATAAAAAAATAGAGGTATAATCCTTAGACGCGCCATATTTTTTTTCTTTAAAAAATATAAATTTATTCCGTCGATTTTTTATGAAAACCTAGGGATAAACTAGTTCGACGTACATGCTTCGAATCCCATCAATTTCAAATTATGTTTTTATTTCATTAAAAGTGACGACATCCTAAATATTTATTTTTAATATTAAAATATATTGTTTTTCACCTCAGTTTTGTTTTCCAACCGAGGTGAGTTTGTTTCTCTAATATATATATATATATATATATATATATATATATATATATATATATATATATATATATATATATATATATATATATATATATATATATATATATATATATATATATATATATATATATATATATATATATATATATATATATATATATATATATATATATATAGCTTTAACTTGTAGCATTCAGTTTCATTTTTCTATAGTACATACCATTGGATGAACCTCTTTGTGAAGAAAAACTACTAGGAAGAACCCATTTTTCGAAATGCTTTTGGCTCTTTGAAAGCATTATGAAACAACAAATAACCTTAGCCAGATTAATCGAGCCCCGACCTCGCGTTTATTTTTCTGAACTAGGTTGTACTCTGAAAAGAAGGAAGAAAAGGGACAAAGACAATATTCCCTTCTGATATTCGCACAAATAGTGGAAGTCTTTAATATATGCCCAACTCGCAGGGTGCAGCTGCGAATGAGCGATCATCAAGTGGTTTAAAACCTGTATCTCAAAGTTTTTGAAGGAAAAATGAAAAGTCCAGGATTGAGAAGGTACACTCATAAAAGAGAATGTTACATTCTTCATACTCACTACAAATCCTTTTTTCGTCATCGGAGGGTCAATACACCTGATTCCGAAGAATGACCTACTTCCAGAAAGACTCTATTAAGGGTATCCTCTTGAGCAAAGATAGAAACAGTTGATGAAATGACAAGATCAATCCAAGAAGCGAAAATATCTTCTTTTGATTTTCCACTCATGATAGACACTACTTTCTTTTGTTACATAGAGATATTATGTTGTAGAAATACAAGTGACAATGAAGCAAATTTAACATCTCAAGAAACTGAAAAACTATTCAGAGATCACATGGTGACTTAGTGAACCTACAAAAAGACACCATATGAAGACACTCGAGTATTTTAATTTGCAAAGTTTATTATGACAGAACCTACAAAAATACGGTTGTAATGTGGGGCACATTAAAGGCACAAATTCCCAAGGACATTAACGTCACAAAAGGGTGGATATAATAAATCCCTCGCACTACCAAACATAGAAAAGAGTTTAAGGGGCAACTATTATAGGTCTGCCAGAGGGCTCAATGACCGCAACCCAGAGAATGCAAAGATTCGCCCAATCACTTGCAGTGTAGGAGTATTACCTTGGAGAAAACATAGGAGATCCAAGTCCAAGATACATCCACGTTTCCCTGCATCTTATGTCTGAAGAACAGTGGGTGGTTGCAATCGCTCTACTATATAAATGCAAAACTTGTCATTCTTCAAGTACACAATTTCAAATTTAAACTCCATTTACTCATCTCTGGGTTACATCGCATCGACATGTCAAGCCCATTGTTACATCTCACAACCCCGTTCTTCGATTAATTCTGCTTCCATAACGGAAAATTTTCATTTTTAAAATTTAAATTAATTATTTTTTAATTATAATATATAATTAATATTATGCACACTAGTCTTAAAATAGTGTATTAAATCTTATATTTACAACAGCAACAAAGCTTTACGATAGTAAAAAATAGATCAATAATAGTATTTTTTTAATTAAAAAATAATGGGAGGAGAAGTTTGACTTGTTTTCTTCCTGTCCGTATATGCCACCGAGACAGAAACTACCCCTCTTAAATATCAACTCTTCAAAGAAAAGAATCACACATCCACTTGAATCATTCCAAAAGAAACAATGAAGTTTCAACAATCCCATCACCAACTTCATGTAGTTTTTGTTCCATATCCAACTCCTGGCCATATGATTCCCATGATAGACACCGCAAGACTATTTGCCAAACATGGTGTTAATGTTACCATCATCACCACACATGCAAGTGCTTCAACCTTCCAAAAATCCATAGACAGTGACTTCAGTTCAGGTTACTCCATCAAAACTCATCTCATTCACTTCCCTTCATCCCAAGTTGGTCTCCCTAATGGTGTTGAAAATCTCAAAGATGGCACTTCACGTGAAATATTCGCAAAAATTTGCCGTGGAATATCGTTGCTCCAAGAGCCAATTGAGCTTTTGTTTCATGATCTTCAACCTGATTGTATAGTCACTGATCTGATGCATGATTGGACTGTGGATGCAGCTGCAAAACTTGGCATTCCAACCATTCACTATTACAGCGCAAGCTACTTCTCCAATTGCGCCTTTCGTTATATCGCCAAGTATAGACCTCATGATGATTTAGTTTCTGATACACACAAATTTACTATTCCTGGTTTCCCTCATACCATTGAGATGACTCCTCTGCAGACTCCTGATTGGTTAAAGGTCAAAAATACTGCCAATTCTAAACTATTTTTGGATTTGGCACCAACTTTTGAATCAGAGGATAGAAGCTATGGGACACTATACAATAGTTTTCATGAACTTGAAAGTGATTATGAGAAACTTAATAAAACTACAATAGGGATCAAATCTTGGAGTGTTGGACCAGTTTCAGCTTGGGTTAACAAGGATGATGAAAGAAAGGCTAATAGGGGACACATGGAGAAGAAGTTTGGAAAAGAGAAAGAATTGCTAAATTGGCTTGACTCTAAGCCAAATGATTCTGTGTTGTATGTAAGTTTTGGAAGCCTTTCCAGGGTTTCTCATGCACAGATTGTGGAAATAGCTCATGGACTTGAAAATTCAGGTCATAATTTTATCTGGGTTGTTAGAGAAAAGGATAAAGAAGAGGATAAAGAAGGTTTTCTTCATGATTTTGAGGAAAGGATGAAGGAAAGCAACCAGGGATATATCATATGGAATTGGGCACCACAGCTTCTGATACTGGATCACCCTTCAACCGGAGGAATTGTGACTCACTGTGGTTGGAACTCAACTCTCGAAAGCGTGAATGCTGGTTTGCCGATGATCACATGGCCCATGTTTGCTGATCAGTTTTTTAATGAGAAGTTGCTTGTTGATGTTTTGAAGATAGGAGTTTCTGTTGGATCAAAATTGAACAAGTTCTGGCTTGGCATTGTTGAAGAGATAGTGGTGAAAAGGGAAGAAATAGCGAAGGCTGTTGAGATTTTGATGGGAAATGACCAAGAGGGAAAAGAAATGAGGACAAGAGCAAAAAAGCTTGGTGATGCTGCCAAGAGGACTATAGAGGAAGGTGGAGACTCTTACAACAACTTGGTTCAGTTGATTGATGAGTTAAAGTCATTGAAAATATCTAAAGCACTTTGTAGCTGATCAAGGCTTTGAATACGATGAAAAAACATCTAAGTTTTATTTTTTCTCTAGCTATTTTTTGCTGTGATTTGGAGTTCAATAAGATGAAACAACATCCTGTCAATCTTGTGTACTGCAATGATGATAAAACAAGTTAGTTTTGAGAATGAAATTTACATATTAAGCTAAGAAAAAGATGTGATGATGACTTAAATATCCTTGTCTACTTTGGTTTGCCTTATAGTATTTAGTGTTTTATGTGCTATATAACTCTAGTTTGCAATAAAAATAATGAAACCGATATCAACCGTTCTAGTCATCTAATATTATATACCTAACATTACGACCTAAGCACGGATATCAAAAACACGACACTGATACTGACACGTTGACACCTGTAATAATTTAAAAAAAAATGAATAATCATAAGTATTAGTGTCAGTTTCAGGCACCGACATTGACACAAATACATTTTTTTTAGAGATGTCGCTGTTAGAGAGATTAAGATCTTAATTAAATATCTTAAAACTTATTGATGAATATGCAATGTTATCAAAGGACAAGACTATTAGAGGCCATTTTTTTCTCTGAATCTAAACTATATAGATGCAGCAAACTAAATTTCCTCATCATATATGTTACCACCTCATGTTTAACTAAGAACATTGGAAATTAATTTGAATAGGAAGGTTTAATGGGAATAAAGAAGGACATGGTTAGTAAACAGTAAAAAAAATATTGAGGAGTGGTTGTTTTGTCTTGTAAGACAAGTGATTCTAAAACAATCTCTCAGCCACAAAAACTTATCCTTAAATATCAACTCTACAAGTAACAACCACAGATCCACCTCAAAGATTTCAGAAGCAACAATGGAATCTCAACAATCTCATAATCAACTTCATGTCATTTTCCTTCCATATCCAACTCCTGGCCATATGAATCCCATGATTGACACTGCAAGGCTATTTGCCAAACATGGGGTTGATGTTACCATCATCACCACACATGCCAATGCTTCAACATTCCAAAAAACCATTGACACTGACTTCAATTCAGGATACTCCATCAAAACTCTGCTTATTCAGTTCCCTTCAGCTCAAGTTGGCCTGCCTCATGGTGTTGAAAACACCAAAGAAGCCACTTCCCTTGAAATGTTTGGTAAAATCGTCCATGGAGTATCGATGCTCCAAGATCCAATTGAGGTACTGTTTCATGATCTTCAACCAGATTGTTTAGTCACTGATATGTTGCATGATTGGACTGTGGAAGCAGCTGCAAAACTAGGTGTTCCAAGGATTTACTATTACAGCTCAAGCTATTTCTCAAACTGTGCCACTCATTTTGTCATGAAGTATAGACCTCATGATAATTTAGTTTCTGATACACAAACATTTACAATTCCAGGTTTGTCTCATACCATTAATATGACTCGTCTGCAGCTTAGTGATTTTTTAAGGGAAAAGAATGCTACCACAGCCTATTTTGAATCAATTTTAGAATCAGAGAAAAAAAGTTATGGAACACTATACAATAGTTTTCATGAACTTGAAAGTGATTATGAGAAACTTTATAAAACTACAATAGGAATCAAGTCTTGGAGTGTGGGACCAGTTTCTACATGGATTAACAAAGATGGTCAAAATAAAGCCAATAGAGGAGACATTGGAAAAGAGGGAAAATTGTTAAATTGGCTTAATACTAAGTCTAACGAGTCTGTTTTATATGTAAGTTTTGGAAGCCTTACTAGGCTTTCTCATGAACAGCTTGTGGAAATAGCTTATGGACTTGAAAATTCAGGTCATGATTTCATCTGGGTTGTGAGGAAAAAAGATGGAGATGAGGACAAAGATGGGTTTCTTCAAGATTTTGAGGAAAGGATGAAAGAAAGCAAAAAGGGGTATATCATATGGAACTGGGCACCACAGCTTTTGATATTAGGCCACCCAGCAACAGGAGGGATAGTGACTCATTGTGGTTGGAACTCAACTCTAGAAAGTTTGAGTATTGGTTTTGTAAGTGCCTTCGTTTAGGATTGGCTCATTTCATGTAAAACAAATAGTAACAACAATAATGTAATGTAATGTACAATAGGAACAGCCTGAAAATCCTATTGTAAATGCCTAAACATGTTGTGTTGATCAACATCTGGAACAACATGTCTCAAGAGATGTCATAACATCATACCAGACATCGAGCTACTGAACTGTCAAGTCTGATGCAGTTCTGTTCCTGAAGTTATGCAGAATATTCTGCCAAATAGAATGCATAACAAGTAGCGAAAATTGAAGGCATATGTGGAGCCCTAGAAGATTCAATCAGAAGCTAAGGATAAGGAGAAAAGCTCGATTGAAGACCTAACTTACAGCAGAAGTTTTCTGCTTACTTTATGCAGGTCGTTAAAGCTGCATTGCTGTCATATGAAGGCCCAAATCCAGTTGGGTAAAAAGTGTTATAAATAGAAGCATTGTAACCTAATTTAAAGGGTTGTGGATTGACAAGATGTAATGATTAGGGCTAGTTTGTGGTGAACCACCCGGGCTGTGGGATGGTCACTATACTCCTTGAAACCTGTAGGTTAGAGGATGTATGCATTGTACTTGATTGAAGCTTTTAAGCATGATCAAGATGTGTAATGGAAGAGTAACTTCTGAACAGTTTATGTACTGTAGAAAGTTATCACTGCGGTGATTGAGGGGGAGTGAGAGGGGTCTCATATCTAAGATTGGATCTTAGGTAAAAGTGTCATTGGGTAGTGATTAAGTGAGAAGGCTGTCAACGGGTGTGTTGGCTGTAGGGTCTTTGAATTGATACTACTAATAGTGAACTTTATCCCTGGCTTGGAAGCCCCCAGATGTAGGTTGGTTGAACCGAACTGGGTGAACAATTCTGTGTGTTGTTTACTTTCTGCATTGGATATTTGTTTGATGTCACAGCATTCCTCATGACATCAATGTATATGATTAATCTTAACTGCTCTGAACTTCAGTAAATCAGAACATGTGACTGTTGCAGAACAGATATCAAGAGTACAGCCTATTCTACCTGTACAACACTTAATGTCAGATCAAATGTCTTAACGTTCCATTAGACATCCTGAGTCTGTGACATATCAGGAATTTCAATTGGTATCAGAGCAGGCATCCTGTCTGTCTCTGGATGAGATCCATGGGGGATACTTTCTTGTTGTGTACAAGGTAGAATATTGTTTGAACCAGTAGTGTTCATATTGTTTGGTCCCTAAGAGTGGAGGATGAACCAATTTGGGAGAAACTAGATCAATCTGATCAGCTATGTTGAAGGAAGGTAAAAATGTTTGAACAAATTCAAAAACCACATGCGGGAGTGAAGATTTTGGAGAGCATTGTTCAACCTATATTCAGTACAGAAGAAGAATATTATCAAAACCTTCATGCGGGAGTGAAGATATTGATAAGGCATCATATGTGCTTATAAAGCTTCTTTTTAACAGGGCTGTAGAGTTGGGTCTAGAAAGTTGCTTGGTGAAGAAGCAAACAACTTGAAGGATTGATTTAAGCAGGTTCTGTTGAAGTACTGCTATTCCGCTGCACAACTTCTGATACAACCCCTAAAATGAAAGAAGAACTCTAGGGTTATTATTTTCAGCAGAATTTCTACTTGAAGACCCTGAAGATTATCAAGGATGATGTGTTCCAAGGAGATGGAACTAATGTTCTTAAGGATGTCATGCAACTGCCAGTTGAAGAACATATGTTCTGGGTGCTAAACATATGTAATGAGGGTACATATGTTTGGAACCTACTCCTGATCTGGAAGAGGAGACATCTGTGAGTTTAAGGGAGTATATGAGCTGAGCTAAATGCACTTAAAAGGACTTTAAAGCTGTGATTTCCAGGTTTCCCCTCATGTGATGGATGATGGAACATCATTTCTGTGTCTTCAGCCAAGTAAATATGCTTAGCAAGCATGAAGAAGTAATCAGTCAGGATGCTCTAGTGTGATTAGATAATGGAAGCAGAATCTTTATGTGATAAATATGTGGAAATCAGAATCAAAAGTTCTAAAGTTTGTGATGATAAAGGATGTACAACATCACAACTGTTGAAGACATCAGTTGCTGAGGAAAGACAGATAAGTTCCAGATTTAGTGAACATCCTCATGATTGATAATGAAGTTTCTTCTAGTACAATTTACAGAATGTGGCAACCTGAAACTTGTACAGCAAGCAAACTAAGGACTCTTAATTTGAAACCTGTGGCAAATTCCAAATAAAGAGTACTTACTATGTGTCTAAAGTAAAGAGCTCAACACTGTATCCATAAAGAGGGAAGTTGGATAACATTTTGTTCAAAGGGAGTTCATCTTACCTTGTTCTATAAGATGCTTGAGTTTATTTCTCATGATCTTAGTGAGTTCCAAGGAGGATAGGAATAGAACAGGTTATGTCTACCAATCACATAAACTGCAGCATGTGAAGGAAAAATTCACTTAATTCTCTACAAAGATCTGAGCTGAGCTTCAGGGGGAGTCCTTAACCTGAAGATCTTGGAAGACATGTCATACAAAATGTCTTGACAACCTGGACCAAAGTCAAATGATGGATATCTGCACTTTGACAAGTCATCCCCATCACCTAGGATGAACTTGTTAGTTGTATGTAGCAAGGAGGAGTTATCTTCAAGAGATCATGGGTTCCTGAGATTTTTTTTTGAAGTTCATTTATGTGGTGTCCTCACATAATAGAACAACTTGGTCTGCTCTTGCCTACAGGAGTATGGTACAATTAACTTCTTTGTACTGTTCAAGGGTCAGCAGACAAGGTGAAAGTGATGCATGCTAGTTGCTGCATGGTTATGTGGTTGTTGTGGGTCTGATCATAAAGGATGTAAGAAAAGTGTGCTTTGATTGCTATGGATGTTCATCCAAAACCATAGTATAAGCCAGGCTCATATGGTTGAGATCAATGTCAGATCTGATGTTGCAACATCATCTCAAACGAAGGGCCTCTTCAGCAAAAGAAGCTTGTAAGGACCAGTTGGTTCTTCATGCATAGAGCAGAAGATTGTTAGAATAATTATCCTACCTTGAGAAGATGGCATAATCTAACTAATAATGAATACTTTGACGGGAGACTAAGTATTCATTAGGATCTTGCATAAAGATATATAAGCACTTTGATGGGAGACTAAGTGTTTGTATAATATGCATGCAAGACTGTATTCTGAACCTATTTCTCAGAACTTGATAGAGAGTTTATTTCTCTCTAAGAGTATTCTGGTAAGTAATTATTTCTGAAGATGAAAATCATAACTTTTCTATGGGGAATATAAAAGGGCATCAATCCCCTGGATGCTAACTTCAGAACCCAAGCAGATAGGTTCATGCTGTAACATCATTATTGTTAGAAGTCTGTGGCAGAGACTTGGGGCTGTGAATCTTAATATTGTTGGTTTGGAATAAGTAGATTCTACTTGTGTTTAAAAGTAGTATGCTTAACAATGCATAACTACTGTTGTGGTCTGAAGAATTTACTAGTATTAGCAACTACTAGTAAATATATTATACAGAAGGATGACATGATCAAAGGATAATCCTTCTAGAAAGTCTGAATCTTAGTAAAGCTTGTAAGCACACTAAGAAGGTTGGAGGTTGGTTTCAGACTATGGCTACATGAGAGTCATGATAAGTGTGGAAGTGCAAGGGCATGAATCAGAGATGTCCTTACTATTCTAAGACTAGTTCAGGGTGCTTGAAGTTACCACCTCAGAGCTAGTGCTACTGGTTTCCACGCCACTGTTTTGATTGGCCTTAACAAGGGAAGTCACTGAGTGTTGCACTTTTCCCAATTACAATATACATTGAAGGGAGACTCTGTATATGTATTGTTGGACTTAATCTGAAGATCAGAAGTCAGAAGAGGGCGGTGGTATGCTGATGTTTATGTGTTCTGATAATATGACATTGTGAACTTCTAAGTGAAGTCATGGATAATGTCTCAACATCAGGAGATTGAAGAATTGCTCTTGTTATTGGACTGGGGTTAGGAAGAAAATCTCAGAGATTCTTAAAAGTATCATAAGTGGCAGTTTTGATACTTTTGAGCAATTTGGAAGATTCAGATCTTATCAATAGCAACTTGGTCTGGCAAATCAGACTTCGCTAGCTCCAACAACTACTAGTGAATGGAAGATCAGAAGAAGTAAATCAGATATATTCAGCATATGTTCAAGGGGTTCTTTTACTACAAGAAATAGAAGTGACATCTAAATTTGTGTATTAGAACTAATCTGTGATGTCTTGTGAAGCATTTTGGAGTCTTCTGGTGTATTGGATCTCAGCAACACTTAAGAAAGCATGAGTGATGGCCATGCTTAATGCTGCTAATCTCTTGCTACTAGAAGTAAAAAGAAGGTTGCTGTTGTTGAAGAATGCAAGGTAATGTCTAAGTAAGTGTCATGACATTACAAACGACATTGCAACCTTGGGGAAATCAAGAAGAATACGGGAAAATAACTTCGCCACGTCATTGGTATTCTGTTTCCTAGAAGGAATAAATCTTCAGTCCAGAAAATGGGTCAAAGGCTGATTTTATTCAGGAATTGCTTCGACCTAAATTTATGCATGTATTAGGACTGGTTCTTTTTGGCAGAAACAAACAAATGCGTCTAAAATTCATGCACAGTCAGTCTGAAATATGCAACAACTTTAACAGGTATCCTTGACCAAGATTTTATATTACCATCTTCTTGAACCTGGTATCTCCTTATATAACCTCCTGTCACACATTCTTTTCTCTCACAACCATCATGGGGTTTATACGGATTTGGGAAAACTGTTCTTGGATCTGGTTTTGTGAGGGCTTTCTTTGTCAATTTTTGGCCAAAAAGGGGGAGAAAGGAGTACTGTTACTGTTTGACACTGTCCTCGTTGCAGCAGCTACTCAAAATTTTGATCACAAAGACTTGTCACAAACTCAGCAGAAATTCAAATGGCGTGAATTTCTTTGTGACTTGTGATCTGAGTTATGAACACAGTTATGACCTGTGTTCTGAGTTACAAGGGAGATATTCTGGTCACTCCTTAAAGGTTCTCTGATGCCTCTGAAAGGATAGTTTATCTCCCACGGTCCTCTTTTTCCACCTCCAGTGACAAGAAATGGTTCGTGGTCTAAAAGGGAATGAGGTGCATCCTCTTCCTCCTGTGCTTCAAGAGGTCCTGGATGGTTAGTGTGGTTACAACCAAAGATGTCAAGATCAATGTCAAGACATCCTTCTGTGTGTATCCTGAACACTTTTTATTTTTTTCTATTGTTGTATTTGTTTTAGCCAAAATTTGCCAAAGGGGGAGATTGTAAGTGCCTTCGTTTAGGATTGGCTCATTTCATGTAAAACAAATAGTAACAACAATAATGTAATGTAATGTACAATAGGAACAGCCTGAAAATCCTATTGTAAATGCCTAAACATGTTGTGTTGATCAACATCTGGAACAACATGTCTCAAGAGATGTCATAACATCATACCAGACATCGAGCTACTGAACTGTCAAGTCTGATGCAGTTCTGTTCCTGAAGTTATGCAGAATATTCTGCCAAATAGAATGCATAACAAGTAGCGAAAATTGAAGGCATATGTGGAGCCCTAGAAGATTCAATCAGAAGCTAAGGATAAGGAGAAAAGCTCGATTGAAGACCTAACTTACAGCAGAAGTTTTCTGCTTACTTTATGCAGGTCGTTAAAGCTGCATTGCTGTCATATGAAGGCCCAAATCCAGTTGGGTAAAAAGTGTTATAAATAGAAGCATTGTAACCTAATTTAAAGGGTTGTGGATTGACAAGATGTAATGATTAGGGCTAGTTTGTGGTGAACCACCCGGGCTGTGGGATGGTCACTATACTCCTTGAAACCTGTAGGTTAGAGGATGTATGCATTGTACTTGATTGAAGCTTTTAAGCATGATCAAGATGTGTAATGGAAGAGTAACTTCTGAACAGTTTATGTACTGTAGAAAGTTATCACTGCGGTGATTGAGGGGGAGTGAGAGGGGTCTCATATCTAAGATTGGATCTTAGGTAAAAGTGTCATTGGGTAGTGATTAAGTGAGAAGGTTGTCAACGGGTGTGTTGGCTGTAGGGTCTTTGAATTGATACTACTAATAGTGAACTTTATCCCTGGCTTGGAAGCCCCCAGATGTAGGTTGGTTGAACCGAACTGGGTGAACAATTCTGTGTGTTGTTTACTTTCTGCATTGGATATTTGTTTGATGTCACAGCATTCCTCATGACATCAATGTATATGATTAATCTTAACTGCTCTGAACTTCAGTAAATCAGAACATGTGACTGTTGCAGAACAGATATCAAGAGTACAGCCTATTCTACCTGTACAGCACTTAATGTCAGATCAAATGTCTTAACGTTCCATTAGACATCCTGAGTCTGTGACATATCAGGAATTTCAGGTTTGCCAATGATCACATGGCCAATGTTTGCTGATCAATTTTACAATGAGAAGTTGCTTGTTGATGTTTTAAAGATAGGAGTTTCTGTTGGATCAAAAGTGAATGAGCTATGGCTTAGCATTGGTGAACATGAAGTGGTGAGAAGGGAAGAGATTGCAAAGGGTGTTGAGATTTTGATGGGAAGTGGTGAAGAGAGCATGGAAATGAGGATAACTGCAAAAAAGCTTGGTGATGCTGCCAAGAGGAGTATAATGGAAGGTGGAGACTCTTACAACAACTTGATTCAGTTGATTGATGAGCTGAAATCAGTAAAGATTGCAAGAGAACTTGAAAAAAATTAGATTATAGATAATTGATTTTCTGTTATTGCTCAAGGAGTTGCACATGGTGTGATTTTATCAAGTTTCACTACTAAAAATAAGACATTTGATTAAAGGATTTTACATCACGTTTCAAGATATACGATGTAAACAATATTTATCAAAGGATTTTACATCAGACATTTATTTCTAATGATGTGAAAAATATTTGATTTAGGAAAAAATATAACACTGACATTTTGGTAAATAAAACGAAATTTCGTTATAAAAGATTTCACATCGGACCTAGATATACACCGATGTAAAAAATCTAATGATAAGAAAATATAACACAGTAACAGTTTAGTAAATAAAATAAAATTTTGTTATAAAGGGTCTTTAAATCGGGTCAACTCCTCAACAGATGTAAAAATTTCAATGATAAAAAAATATAATTTTGTTATAAAGGACCTTTATATCGGGCCAAATCCTCAACCCATGTGAAATCCTGAAGCAAGAAAAATAAATAAAGTGAAAGAAAAAGAGTAAACGTGTTTTGTTATTGTTAGGGTTACAAAGTTGTGACGCTTCATCTTCAAAACACGCTCAACTCTCTATCTTGGATCTGCGTCGTTGCTACATCTCAATCCACCTTTTTCTTCCTACAATCGTCGTTGTAGATGCCGTTCCGCCACCGACTCACTCATCTCTTTAACACAACCTCTCTCTCAATCTTGGAAGACAAATCGTTCCAGAAACCGCTTCCAAAATTCGCTAGGTTTTATTCTTGATTTTGAGTTTTGTTCAAGATCATCGCTAATACTCATTGTTTCCAGAAATCATTTCCCAAAATCGCTTCTAGAAATCGCTTCTCGTTGTTTCTCATCGAAGAGTTCAAGAAATCGCTTCTCATCGTTTTGGTGTTTACATTTCTCGACGATGGCGGATGCAATGGTAGCAGATGCAAGAAAAGAACCACGACCAGGTAAATGAGGCTTCGAAGGCCACGACCTCACCGAAGAAGACGCTCACGTGAGAGCCATAGCAGAGGTCGTGAAATCCATGGTCGACCTATCTCACAAAGGCCACAAATTGGATCTCAACGCTCTCAAATCCTCTGTGTGTCGTAAGTACAGCCTCTCACGCGCCCCCAAACTAGTGGAGATGATCTCCGTTTTACCTGACTCTGAACGAGAGGTTCTCCTTCCTAAACTCCGATCCAAATTTGGAATAGCCGCCATCGTCGTCATGTCGAAGCCTCACAAGTGTCCTCACATTGCCACCGCTGGTAACATTTGTGTCTACAGCCCTGGTGGTCCTCACTCGAATTTTGAATACAATACTCAGTCTTATACGGATTATGAACCTACCAGTATGTACGCAATTCGAGCAAGGTACGTTTCTTTTCATTTTCTCCGAGAAATTCTAATTGTTAAATGAAACATATCAGCTTAATTTGATGAATTTTTTTGGTTGGGATTTAGGTATAACCCTTATGTTTAAACAAGAGGTAGGATAGATCAGCTTAAGCGATTAGGTCACAGTGTAGACAAGGTTTGGAGCTCTGTTATTATCTATTGAGTTATTGAAGTTCATGAAATATATGTGTGACCATCCTCATCTCATCCTATCCTCAGTTCTTATCCATCTTCTAAAGAAAAAACAAACAACAACACATACCGTATACTACCGATTCTCTATAAGAAGGTATGATTTGTTCAATGGAATCAATAGCTTCAAACACAAATTACAAGAAAACATTATGTGTAAGAAGATATGAGTGGTTTTCTTTATATTTAGTTTTCTCTATAGGAAGGTATGATTTGTTCTCTTTTTCTATAGTTTTGATGCAAAAAGATAAACTTATGCTATAATTTTTTTGTCAATAGTTCAAACTCTGAAGCATCGGAATCATGCAATATTAAGCCCTTTAAACGCCCTAGAAAGGTATGGTTTCAATCTCTTTTGATTTTTTAGTGCATATTTTTGAACAAATATCGATTAGTGCATATTTCCGATTCTCCCTTAATTTTGATGTTATTATTTGCCTTAACCTCTGTAATCTTTTTTGTATGTTTCTGTTGGGTGCTAAAGAAAATGGTCAGACATTCTCAGATTCACGAAATAGAGGAAATGGAACCACAGGTGTGGTTTTTATCCCTTATTTTTCTTTTCAATGCCTTACGTCTTATGAATAAAGGTTTATCTTTTTTCAAATTTTAATAGATGCCTACATGATAAAAAGATATTGCCACTTATATGTCGTTGTGGACAATAATTAATAAAAAGTAGGTTTCAGAAGTTCATAATTGATTTGGTTTATAATATCCAAATTTCAATGACTTTTTATTTCATATTTCATGTAAGTGTCTGTGTCAAGTACAAAAATGTTTTGGTTGTATTTTCTTCTGATTTACAATATAATTGTAGCAGATTATTTGGCACACTATTCGTTTAGATTATAAAAACATATGAGTTTCAAAGATTGAATGAGTTTTGAAGCTTACCGACCGCAGGAAGTCCGGTGCTTCTTCAGACTGATAGCAAGAGCATAGAAACCCAAAGATCTTGGATAGTCCATTTTTCGGATATGTAGTGATAAGTGATATATGTTCTTTCCTTGGTGAAACATGTGTTGATCATGTTTCTACCTTGGTTTTCATTTCATATGTTGAAACATGTTACAATAACTTACTTAATTTAATGTTTGAACTTTGTAAGTAATGAAAGGTTTATGAACTTTGTACTGTTATGAGTTTTCAGTTTCATTTGACTATGGAGTAGTTTTATAAGTGCCCAACATGGAAATTCTGATTTTGGGAAACTACCTTGAGGATGAAGATTATAGTTGTCATGTTGCCAGCAATTTTAACAAGGATATGGCTATTCTGAATGTGCTCTGTTGCATGGATTGGATTGTAGTCTAATTTTTACTTTTAATGTATACATTGATGTCAAGATCAGATTATGCTGTTGAGTGTTGATTCGTTTATGCACAATGGTTTTTAGTTTTTATCATGTACTACTACTATTAGGCAGAAATTATCTGTACTGTACCCAAAAAAATTGATAGTAATTGAAAAAGTTTGTTTAATCTGCAAAATAACTGGATAGTGTTTCATAATTTATCTGTTTATGGTTCACTTGAATCAGATTCTGGATTTCTTATGTCTAGTAAAATTATACATCTCTAGTACTGAACTAAATAGAATAGAGATTCTAATTGGCTGGATTTAGTAATATGATTTAGTCTTGATGAATAATTCACTATTTCTCCAATATCAGTTATTATAATAATCCAAGCCCATATGCATTATTTTTCATGTTAGGAGAACTTGCTCTATATGCATACTATAGTTCAAAATTGAGATATAACCAAATGTGAAAACATAATCATAGAAACATGGACTATCCAAGATGAGCGCCTTGCAACCAATGTAAAAACCTATATTTTACATCGGGCCAAGTTTGAAAAAAAGAATTAACCCCCTATTTCACATCATACATAATTGTCAACCGATGTGATAGGTGTATTTTTCACATTCGGCTGCTGGCCGATGTAAAATGTCTTTGATTTACTACATCACTTGACTTTACATTGGACTCAAATTTGATGTAAAATGTGTTTTTCGCCCGATAAAAAAAATCTTTTCTACACTAGTGTTTTTTTGATTTTGTAATGAATAACATGCAAGTCCTATTTAAACAAATAATTCTCATGTAGGAATCTATTATTACTTATGTGATGTGTCACTGGTTGGCATATAGTTTGCATAATATGAATACTTATAAAAGCACTCATTATCTAACTTCTTCGGGAACACTATTTACTCCATTTTTATTGTGTACATCTGATATTATCAATGATCAAAGCAATGAAACTAAATGCAAGTTATGTTTCATACTTCACTTTGATTCATATTGTGGAGTGTAACTTAAAATCTTAACAATCTCTCAACTATATAAACTTATCCTTAAATATTGTTGTAATTGTATCTCCGTGTGTCGAATATGATCACATTTGGTGTATAATATGCAAATAGGAAATATAGAATAGGAAACAATATCAATTACACTAATTACTAATTCAATATCAATCAATATTAATTGATTTATAACAAATTCTTAACACTCTCCATCAAGCCGAATCGTATATATTGTATGATCTGAGCTTGTTACAAATATAATTCACTCGAGAATCCTTGAGAGACTTGATAAACATATCAGCCAATTGATCTTTAGATTTGACAAATTCTATGGTTAACTCTCATGACAATACCTTGTCTCTTACATAGTGATAGTATATTTCTATGTGTTTGGTCCGTTCATGGAAAATCGGATTGAATGCAATGTGGAGCGCCGCTTGATTGTCGCATATGAGTTTTTTGGTCTGAAGGTAACCAAACTTAATTTTTTAGAGCAAATTCTTAAGTCATGCAAGTTCTTTTGAGGCTGCTGTCATAGCACGATATTGAGCTTTAACACTAGATACTGCAACAGTGTTTTGTTTCTTGCTCCTCCATGAGATCATATTTCCTCCAATAAGAACATAATATCTAGAAGTGGATCTCCTATCCGATGATGATCCTGCCCAGTCTATATCTGAATTACAAATTATTTTAGCATCACCCTTATCTTCATATAATAAGCCCCGTCCTGGTGCATTCTTTATATATCTGAGAATCCGAATAACTTCATTCCAATGAGTATCACAAGGAGCATTCAGAAATTAATTCACAATGCTCACTGCAAAAGTAATATCCGGTCTAGTGACTGTAAGATAATTGAGTCTACCCACTAGACGTCGATATCTTCCCGGGTCTTTCAACAACTCCCCCTGACCCGAAAGAAGCTTGACATTGGGATTCATAGGAGTATCAATCGGATGACAGTCAATCATACCAATTTCAGTTAGGATGTCTAACGCATACTTACGCTGGTTAATTGCAATGCCTGATGAGGATTGAGCAACTTCAATACCTAAGAAGTATCTGAGTGGACCCAAATCTTTTGTACGAAAGTTTTTGAAAAGGTGAGTTTTGAGTCGCTGAATACCCTATGTATTATCTTCAGTGATAACTGCTAGACGATGTGATGGATCTTGAAGGGGGTTGAATAGATCCCTTTGAAAATTTTGCGCTTTTTGTAAAATTGTTTTTATCAGAGAGCGACATCCCTGAATCTGATCGTCTAAACTTTACGTATTTGAAAGATCGGATATGCGAACCAATTTGATGAAAATGATGAGAATAGAATCACAACTAAAATTGAATATGATTAATCTTTTTAGCAAGTTTAACAAGGTGTAAGTTATTACCAATTAGTTGCGGAGAAGATAAAGCAAATATGTGAGTTGTAAATTCACCAAACATTTGGTGTACGTACTACACAAGGTTTGGTTATACTCAAATTGTAGTGATTATAGTGATTCAAATGAATGCTATATGAGTTGTAAATTTTAGTTTCTCACTACAATTATTTTGTATGAATGAGAAAGACTGACAACTCACAAATTCAAGCAAATAGAAATAAAATGCAGAAAACTAAAATGGACACAGTATTTATTAAGGTAGTTCACCCTGTCATCCTTGCGTGGGCTACTCTGCCCCCCAATTCTAGAATCTAGAACTAAGATTATGAAATTAATTTTGCAAAGTTTGTAAGAGAAGATACAATCACCACAATTCAAAGTCACTTGATGAATCTTATATTTTGCACTCCTCTTCCCTTGATTCAGTTGAATCAAGTATGCCAAATCTTGAACAGAATCTCCTTCTACCTTGAATGATTTGAACCTAGAAATTGGCCCCAAATCCTTCTTCACAATCCTCCGGTTACCGCTACCCGATTGAACACCTCACGGTCTTCCAATCCCTTAGCTCGGCTGAATTCAATGAAGCAAAGACTTGTGATAAAAACCCCCAATTTTGGAGGATAAAACCCCAATGGTTTTATTCAAGAAAAACCCCATAAAGATCTCTACCCAAATCTGAAATTTCACTTTCAATTCAGACGTTATCAACACAATCCCAAAAACTTGATCAACAAAAATGATTGTGTGTAGTTGTTGATGGTTGATGAGAGGTTGAAGATGAAGAGAGCTCTTGTGTCTATCTTTCACTTTTTCTTGTTATCTTTTGAAAATAGAGGCCAAACAATATATATATATATATATATATATATATATATATATATATATATATATATATATATATATATATATATATATATATATATATATATATATAAGTGATTCCCATGATGTAACAACATAGCAGAAAAAATGAGACAATTTAGCGATGTGTCGGCTCATGCAGAGTGTACAGAAGGTGTGCGCCTTCCCGAGCGAGAGAGGTTGAAATTCCTTCAGTCATGCGCCGACTCATTTCCTGATGCGTCGGCTCATGTTTTCCCAGAACTATGCGTCGATGCATAGAGAAGGCGTACGCCTTCCCGGACGTTGCCAAGCCAAAATCTTCTTCTCATGAGCCGACCTAAGGTTCCATGAGCCGGCTCATGCAGTCTGTTTTGAGAAAAATGCTTGTTTTTAATGTTTCTCACTTGCACCTGTTTGAAGCATGACATATTTGCACATATAAGTTTTTGACAAGCATTAAAACTAAGTTCTTTCACCTTTGCTCTCACATACTCCCCCTTTTTGATGATGGAAAAAACCACAAATCGCAAATATGAATCGTCTCAATGGTTGCGAATCATCCAATCATCCCCCCCTGAGATATTGCATATTTCCGCTGTGTATTCCTTCTCCCCATTTGACAACATCAAAAAGAAACAAGGACATGGATTAAGAGAACAAAAAAAATAGAATGACCAATATTTTGCAACTTTGCAAAAAGAACACAAACTAACACACACACAATATGAAGCAAGTGCAAACGAAAATAGATGTAATAACCAATAAAGTAATACAATACAATGTTCATTGTTACAAACCCAAAATAAAACGCAAAGTAGTACGGGAAGTAAAACAATTTAATACAAAACCATAGTAATACAAGCATAACAAGCAAGAAATAAAGTGTCAAGCATTAACTAATGTTGTCGTTCCTCATTGTCTTGTGGTGGTTCAACATGTTGGTTTGGTGGAAAGCGAGCCATGAAAGCCGACTGAAAGTTTTCCAAGTTTGTGTTTTGTGTTTCCATCATTCCATGAATAGTGTTATATCGGCAGTCTTGGAGGCTAGCATAATCCTTAAACTGAATGTTTTGAAGGTTGACTATTCCAACAAGATTGTTAATTCGTTCATTTGCTAATACCATGTCTTCATGATGGTGGACGTGCATTTCCTCAAGTTTGTGTATCACCTCGTCATAGGATCTATGAGGCTTATGGTCATCATTGCCTTCGTCATCTTCTTCATCCTCTTCCGCACTTTCTTGATTCTCAGTACCAACTTCACCGCCCTTAGCATCTTCCATTTCATCATCATGTTCACATCTTCATTTCGAAGCAT